TTTAAAGTCCGTATTTGGTCTTATTGTCTTCTTAGCCGAACTTTCCTCGAGTGAACCATGAAGAAGACATTTAAATCGGGGCATCTTAATCTGTATCTAGCGCATGTTTGACCGAAGAAATTATACTCTTTCTAGTCAAAGACTCGAACATGTTCCATTAAATTCACGAATCTTGACCTCCAGCGATATGACACCCTCCGTTAAATCCGCTTGCTCTATTTCTGAGTGTAGATGGAGAGCTTCTACTCAAATAGACGTGGAACTAACTGTCTTACATGAGTTGCTCAATTGCCTGTCTCTAAAGAAATGTTTTGGAGAACGCACTGCTTGGAATGTCTATATGGAAACACCCAGGAAAGATAAGGATATATTCAATGATATTTGATGCAAAGACCGTCAGCCGATAGTCTAAGTGTGATGTGTGCCAAATATATCCTTTTAAATCCCGAATATCGCAATACTAGTCGATTCGCAGTCAGAATATCGAGTTACGATCTACCAAATCGTGCTTATGGGGTGATATCAAACTGTTAATTTGACATACATGCATACCACGATACCTCGTGAACAGAATGTCCTTGGAACTAATGTTGATAATACAATAATAAGGCGGGAACACCCTCCTTACACCGACCATGGTGTAGAAAATTAATTCATGGAGCTACACTTTGGAACCTTTCCGTCGGATAATTTTTTCTTCTACTAATAGACGGTGAATGAAATTTTCTCGTGCGGTTACCTCCAATGATTATATAATTGCATTTATCACAATTTATGATTAACGAGTTTTATCAAGATTTAAATGTTATTTATGTTACTGCATAAAAAGCAGAAATTTTCCACAACAAGACACTTTACTTTTACGAATGCCTTTCCACTACGTGTGTTAACTATCAGTTCACCCTCGTTACGTACTCGAAATAGGAAGGTTTTAGTGTTACTGTAGCATACGCGTCAGAAACTCGCACTCCACGTGGACAATATTCCGTTTGTGTCAAACAATCACTACGAAACGTCACGTTTTAGCGATTTGTCCTCGACTGAATACCATTCTCTTAACTAACCACACCACACCACACCTTTTAGTGGCACTGGCACTTGCCAACAGAGAATCTTCGTATTAATAAACTTTTATCGACGCAATTTTGCTTCCGGTGGTTTTCACTCGTTTTTAATTATAAGATTTTTTTTGAGAACCCGTAAGAAATACTGTCCAAAAAAAAACAGTAACTTCCGCTATGGTAAAATCGGAACGAAATTCATTGCGCCAACCGAACGTAGGTTGCCTTTAAAATTTCTGTACCGAATTCCTCTAAAAAACTTTCCAGACTAGTCCCTTCCAATTAGGTGTTAAACTTGATCGAGCCGGTAAAAATTTGGGACTTACGTTCCCATTTTAAATTAGATAGTGAATTAGATTGGCATATCAGCTTCTTGAGCTAATTAAATATAGAGGCCAATAAAATAAATAACATTATTCTTAAAACAGAAGTCGCTATTCAAAGAGGGAATGCAAGTTGTATTATGGGAACTTTCAACAACTCTTTCAAGCTAGAAGACATTTTTTACGTCCGTGAAGTTGGCACCGCCCATTGTTCATATTAATATTATTTGTATGCACATCGTTTGTTTATCGTTTGTTTACGTTTGTTTAACTATTTTCAGCGTTTGTTTACATTTCCGTATGTCTTTTTTAAAAATTCAAAATGGGCGAGCTAACTTCACGGTGGCTCACCCAAAATCATAATGTTGTTAAGTTTGCAAGGCATTTGTTTATCGTCTGTGGGCGCGTAAACTTTACTGTCATTATATTATTTTTCATCACGATATGCATCTTTTTAAAAAATGTTAAATGGAAAATTAACTTTATGGTGGTGCAGCGACAATTCGCTTATGAACTCTACAATTGTAGCAGTAGCATGCATGCGGTGATTAGGTAAACGTAAAAGGCTCTAATAAATTAGTCACTGTTCTTCAAACAATTCTCTAATTTTCATATTAAAATGTACGATGGTACTTAGAACTGCCTACCGTTTTAATACAATGCGATAAAAAATGAGTTGCTGTCGAGTCACCTTTGGAATTTTTGTTTACATGGGAAATTGTACCACAGATTTAAATAGTAATAGTAATAGTAATAGTTTTTTCCGCTCCCGAACGGTTTTTCCGTTCTCAAAAGTTTTTTTCTGCTCCCGAGCGCTTTTTCCGCTCTTGAGCTTTTTTTCCGCTCACGAGCACTTTTCCCAAGCGCTCGAGCACTTTTAGGAGTGTTCGGAACTCGCAAGCGATCTCGCGTTGAAATTATGGATTCTACAGGCCACGTTCTATAAGAACTTTTTTTTCCGGGTCGATCTGAGACAAATTTTTTTTCTGACCTCAAAAAAAAGCAGTGTATAACCTTCCTTTTTTACCAAAAATCGACCACACCAAAATTTCTCGGGAAAACACTTTTTCTTATTAATTTTGGTGCGTAGAATCCAAAACAATTCGTACTTTTTCGATCAGACTTATCAATCAAAAGTTATACACTAGAAACCAATTTCGAAAGAAAATTCAAAGGGCTGTTACTTTTGAACTAGTAGGCCAATCTTGGAACTGTTTGAAATTATGGATTCTACAGGCCACATTCTATAAGAAAATTTCTTTTCCGGGTCGATCTGAGACAATTTTTTTTTCGGGCCTCAAAAAAAGGCAGTGTATAACCTTCCTTTTTTACCAAAAATCGACTACACCAAAATTTCTCGGGAAAACACTTTTTCTTATTAATTTTGGTGCGTAGAATCCAAAACAATTCGTACTTTTTCGATCAGACTTCTCAATCAAAAGTTATAGACTAGAAACCAATTTCGAAAGAAAATTCAAAGGGCTGTAACTTTTGAACTAGTAGCCCAATCTTGGAACTGTTTGAAATTATGGATTCTACAGGCCACATTCTATAAGAAAATTTTTTTCCCGGGTCGATCTGAGCCAATTTTTTTTTCGGGCCTCAAAAAAAGGCAGTGTATAACCTTCCTTTTTTACCAAAAATCGACTACACCAAAATTTCTCGGGAAAACACTTTTTCTTATTAATTTTTGTGCGTAGAATCCAAAACAATTCGTACTTTTTCGATCAGACTTCTCAATCAAAAGTTATAGACTAGAAACCAATTTCGAAAGAAAATTCAAAGGGCTGTAACTTTTGAACTAGTAGCCCGATCTAGGAACTGTTTGAAATTATGGATTCTACAGGCCACATTCTATAAGAAAATTCTGGGCCGATCTGAGCTTTTTTCATACAATTAGAACGCGCGTCGCTCGAGCGGTTTTTTAGAACACTCGATCCATGATGAGTTGCTGTTGAGTCTCCTTTGGAAGTTCAAGTTAAGTACAATCACAGATTTAAATATACTATTTAAATCTGTGGTACAATTTCCTACGTAAACAAAAATTCCACTTCACGGACGTGACATTTTTTATTTACTCTACTAGTGTTAAAATTATTTGTGAAATGTGTTTTAAATTAAAATAAATAAAAGTAGTTTTATAATAGCAATCAAAATACAATGCGATTAAAAATGAGTTGCTGTCGAGTCACCTTTGGAATTTTTGTTTACATGAGAAATGGTACTTAACTTGAACTTCCAAAGGCGACTCGACAGTAGCTCGTTTTTGATCGCCCGTTATATAAATGTGACAACGGAAGTGTCATTCATGACACACACGTCTATGGTTTTGAAAATTGCAGAATAAATTGAAGATGTCATACTTTATGCCCAACTCTCAGATCTGACATGCAAAAAAGGCTCATAGGATACAAATTGATTTGGTGTATAAAAACAAATTCACTTACCTTGTACAACTTTTGGCGCTTTCACTTACCCGTCATCGTCGTCGTTGTCCTAATTGTTGTAACTGCCACGGGGGCGCTCGGGTTCGATTCCCGGTCAGTGCAACATTTTTAAATTTAGCATTTGTACATTTCGCCAGACTAATGCTGATCGTTTACATAGGAAGTCACACAGGCCTGTAGGGGTTTTTTTTATTAAGGGGAAAGGTATTTCCACATTATGTGGAGTCAGTATTTTCGACGCAAAGCCGAAAATTTTAAATATCACACGAATATTAAATCTGACTTTGAACCTAAAATTTCGAACTCAAAACATCTCGACATTTTACCACAGGATTTTAATGTGCCCCTTTCAGGTCTTCATAAAATTTAAATAAATTTTAAAATGTCGACCAAGGACCCGCGAAAGTATTTTCAGACAGTCATGTCAAAGCGCGAGGGGGGGGGGGCACCCTACCAAAGTTATTGAAAGCAACTTACCTTCAGGTACATACTAGAACAATCTTCCCCGAGATTAACGCAAAAAGTTACTCACCTCAAACCAGGCCTAATACAAAAAATTTAAAAAAAAATAGAGCTTTTAAAACATTCAGGTTCCTTAATGGCTAGAGATTGCCAGAACAATCTTAAACAAGTATTTTGTCAATTTCATTTTGTAATCCAGCGAAATAAATAATTACCATATTATTTAATCTGACGACATAATTATGTGGTACGCTTAGACGGCACCTTTCCCACCCCTTTACATTAGTGTGTATAATTTATTGTGTAGTACTGATAAATAATTATTTTCAAGCAGTATACAAAATAGCGAGTGATACCAACCGTTTAAAAAACCATTACAAAATAACAGCGCATGTTATTGAACACTAAAACCGCACGTTATCTAACGAGTAAAGGCCGCGGCAAGTATTCCGAGAGGGAAAAAAATGCTAAACGCAAAATTTATGGCATAAGCACATAATAAATTGCGTTTTCTTTTCGTTTTAACATATTGTAGCAGATCCCACCCAGCAAGCGCAAGTCAGAATCAAAAAGGGCCCTCATAAAAATTAATACATTCGATCATTACTAAGTCGTAATATATTATCCTCGGGGCTTCATCTCGACTAATATGGTATATACGGCGACCATTTTAATGTCGCGAATAGAATTTTCAAAAATCCACTTACCCTTTAACTGCGTACTGTCAATCGCGAACATATTCAGTGCGAGAAGTTGTAAAAAACGATTACAGTTGAGGGGCATGGGAGAATGTTGCAAAAGTGCGCGAAATTCCTTAAGCATCTGAAGTGCGGCCTCTTGAAATGTTTCCATGCTGAAATATATGGGTATAAATTAATAAAAGTGACCTGAATTACATATACGCGTAATTATCTATTGTCTCGGTTTTGACGATAGATACCCAAAAAATTGATCGACGCAAAATATGATAGTGGGTCAACTTCATTTAAATTATAATAACGGTGTCGGCAATCAAAAGTAGCGGTTTCTTCTTCATGGGTATTACACTACTATGATGGGACCAATTATAGATTCTTACTAATGATTAAATTGATTCTCTTGCCGGGAATTTTGAAAAACAATGACCTTAATCGGCAATTACACATACCGACATTATTGCTGAATGGGGTGCCTATTCTATGAAGTTCTTCTAAAAATAGTAATAAGCGTTTAATATTTATGTGTGAATGTTGCAACTTTTCTGGGAATTTCAATATGCAATAAACGTGGTAAGAGATGGAAATGAATAAATGGCGGAATAAGCGATTGAAACCACTTTACACGCATGACATGTTTTACCATTACTATCCTAGAAAGCAATAAGCTTCCTTGAAATATCTGCCTTTATTCGCAACTATATTTTCTCGCGACTTTGTGGTTTGCTAACAGATTGCTGTTTTGATAGATTGATTTACCCATATAAGCGTACTTATATACGACGCGACGTGATATATTACAAATAAAACTAAATTTAACGCGATTTGTTAATAAATCAAGATCGTACTGCATAAAACCACACTCTTTACGACGTTGTTCTGCACACAGTGTTCATTAGGCATCTATGAAGAACGGCTAAGTCTACAATTTAGACTGTAACTGTTGCCATCAACAATGAAACTGGACATTGAGTTGGGACCATACATCGCGAGATAAAACCTCACTTGGCACAGAGATCGACGGTTCTCTCCATATCGGGCAAACGTGCAAAATCGTTACTAGACCAAAATTCAAATAAGAATCAATCGAAGGAATGGAATGGGGAAACCTTGCCCTTTATTTTGCTGCACTTAAATTAAAACAGTACAATCAAAATGTGAGATCGAAAGGACTTCAGCCAGAGCCTACTTCTCTGCTTCGGCGCATTTTGGTGTGGTAGATCAGTATTCTATTAGCCAGTTTTGATTCCACCATCAGCCAGATCTTGTCCGAGGTTACCACATTTACCATTTTGGTGGATTTCGCTAAAAATCCTCCACAAAATAGCTCGAACTTTTAGTGGCGACCGACACGAGAAAGAGGCCGCGATTATAGCTTTAAGAAACTTTAAACCGTCTGGTTAACTTCGCCCTTAGAAAAAGAAACAAAGGATAACTGAAAAATCACCACGCTCGGTGATGGCGCCCAGATGTCGCCAATCCCACACATGTAGTCCCGTCCCTAAAGTTGTTAATTGCACGACCCGGTAGGTACACGTACACTCTTCGACTTTCTATCAGCACTCTTCTACGGGCCCTCATTTGCTACCAACCAGCCAGCCGGCCAAAGTGACATGAAAAGCTACAGTCTTAGTTCACTTATGCTCGTAAAATGGCCATTCTTCCCCCCACTTACCTCTACTCTAATTTTCTGAGATCCCCATGCTTTACGTAGGATGAAACTTTACGAAGTTTAAGTATGACTACGTTTAAAAGACAAGTAAAGTTCCTTTTGTTAGATGATCAACTCTCTATTGTGGCTTAAGGGGCTTCTGTATTGAACATACATTTTTGGTTTAGGAAGTTCTGAGGAGTGATTTGCGTGTGAGTGTTAATGTATTTGTCCATATACCATGTTTAGTTCAAGTTCATATCTCATGATGTAGGGCCACATGGAAGAGCAGTGTATATCGCACTGAATGTGGTCCTTTTTCCAATCTGAATGTACTTTTTCTTTTTCCTTTTGTTCTATATGATGTTCATTGGAAATAAACATTATTATTATTATGTACAGGGTGATTCACCTATTGCGCGGAGTACTATTATGGTCCTTAAGAAAGATTTGTCGAGATTGTGCTTTTGTATGATAACATGGTAGAATATGCTGTATATTTTAAAAATCTTTTAAATTATACAGGCTGCAATCCCAAAGTACGGTGTCAAAAAGCAACATTTTTTTTAAATAAAAGGGGTAAGTATTTAAGTAAACCGCAGGCCTTCTTAGTATAGTTACTATTGAGGGGATTTCAGAACCGACAGGGCATGCGAATAAGAATTATTCCCTCTGTTTCGGTAGAAAGCGACTCAGTAAGTTTCGGGAATGGTTTTTCTCGAGGTTTTTCTAAACCCCTCTGTTCGAAAATGTTGTCTATCCGAAAGAAAGCCTCGTAAAGAGCTTTAAATAGTCTTGATTGAGGTCCCTTGATTTTCTTGTTTAGTTAAAGACCATATTTATGATTGTATTTTAATTGTAAATGATATGCACTGGGCTATGGAACTCAGTCCTAGAATAGCGTTTTTGCATCCTACCCCCCCCCCCCCCTCCTCCCCGTACTTTTTTATGTTTATTATGACTATACAAGACTATTGTATTTTCTCACTCAAATGTGATAATTCTTCATGACTCTCGAGTTGTATGATATGCTGTTCTTTCGGAGTACACCTTCAAAAAAACCTACGTTCTAAATGTCAAGTCTCTTGTCGACTGAATAACATAAAATCCCGCCTTTTCCCGTTCCCGTGGGAATTCCTGAGAATACTTTACTATCTCAGAAACCATTCCCAAATGTTTCATCGTAATCGGATGAACGTTTTAAGCATAAGAGGCAGACATACAGACAAACATTCATTTTTATTTATATAGATAATAGCAGACCCGACGAGCTCGCCTATCCTGACGAACCACGTACATATGGCTACATTAACATTACCTAACATTTCCATATAATGCCAGTAGAGTATTTGAATAACATTCTTTGAATTTTCGTTTCAGGAAATGTTATAAATTCACACTGTGCACATTTTAAAAACTCGAAAGTATTGTGAGATTACACATTCGTAATTAACTTTGCTTTGTACTGATGCCAGCATGAAGAAGGCTACAGAGGGCTATGCGCAGATGGCTCATTTACCACCTGCAGAAGGAGCCAACCGGCTCCGTGGCGCACTAATTACGCACATTTAAATCCTTTGAAGACTTGTGTCTTAAGAGATGTCATTTCAGAATATGTATATTGAAGATTTGTTGCAAAATTGCAATGTGTACACTTTGAAGGATTGCATAGTTTTAAGCGGCACACTGTGCACACTTTAAATATTTGGAAGTATTACGAGTTAACAGATGTCTACTTAAATTTGACTTCTATAGTTCGCTGGATAATCACACCGTACACATTTTAAATCCTTTGAAGACTTATCAAAAGATGGCGTTGCCGAATATGACTTTTTTGCAAAATTGCAATGTGTACACTTTAAATCTTTTGAACTATTTTTAAGCGGCAAGCGTTTATTGGTCATTATTACACACTACGTGAAATCGCAAATAGCCTATACCTATACCTTTTATACGAGTATATATAAAGATTAATCAATTCATTTTCCACTGTACTATAACATTGTATTGAATATCTCTCAACGATATCTTGTAGGGCTCAAAAAGTGGCAAGTTTTTTTTTTAATTTTTTGTACTCTGTTCAAATAACATCAGAAAAAATAAAAACAAATCAGCAAATTTTAGTAAATTTGGTATATCTTCGAAAGTACTCAGAATTTTCTGGTTTTCTTTGAAGCATGATCGGTGTCTAACATTATCTTTACGTACACATGTAACACAAAAAATTGGTATAAGTATTTGAAGAAAAATGCAAACGTGAAAGTTTCTTTTCGTAGCAATGCCTTCTTTAAAACTTTATTGGAGCCCGTAAAAAAATGAATAAAAGGCATCTTTAATTCACAGGTTACCGAAAACCTCGCAGTTTCGCATCAGGAATTCTTGTACCAACAATGTCAAAAAAAGTAAATAATATCGTTCTACGTGGAGAGCTTTTGACAACAATACTGACGCATTGAGATAAATTAACCATTAAGCTGTTGTACAGTTGTACGTATAAAGAATGTAACTCTTCAGCGCGAACCAACTACGCTTCTAGTGGACACTTTAAAAGTCGAAATGTTTTCATAAATCACCAATAACAATCGGCACTCAGAAAAGGAGTGGTCCTCCAAGTCCAACAAAATTCTCACCTCTGCGTAGTATTCGTGCTACCAACGCTGGGTCATAAGTTTCCTTGAATTAGTGAGTTAGGTCATTTCAGTCAGTCGGCCACCCGGCGCGCAAGGTTAACAGACAAATAAACCCAAAAAGCAAATGAAAAAAAAATGGAAATTGAGTCGTCGATAACCGTTGTAAATCACGTAAAACGAATTGTAAATAAAATTAATTCAACAAATGTCACTGAATAACAACAATAAATTTGAATAAATGTTTATGGGTCACTTGTGCAATGCGGACTAATTTCAAAGTTCAATGGCAGAATGCTAACACCCCGATGGAAACACCCCTGTTGAACTCTTAGCATAGTTCAAGTGAGGATTTGGCACAAATAATGTGGTGCGTGATGCTCCTAATCGTTAATTAGACAAAAAGAAAACAATGCGAGATTACGCAAACGGTTAGCTTAATAATAACTAATTACGTACCTAACCAATTAAGCATAATACCTATTGGTACAAAATAAGAGATCTCACATGAAGATACACATATACAGTTAGACCATAGAAGTCTATGTAAAGCTACAATGACAACGATCCAGCATCCGAAGATCATTCATGAGGTAACAATAATGGAGTGTCTTGCATAATCTACTCAGACAATGTCGATCGGATTAACTTAGCAAATACGATAATTCAGTGGCGAACAGGTGTGCGTCAATTGAAAGCAAAAGTAACGTATCATGTGTCTGACTTTAATTAAATAGTCGATGTGTAATTTAAAAGGAACAAAGTAACGCCCTCACAGAAACATAAATCTCGTTCCTTCTGGTTTAAAATGGTAAAGAATTGCAGAAAAAATGATTTATTCCCGATGTTCACACACTTACTTAACATTTCATTCCATTCGCATTATTAACATACTGAAACAAAAGTGGGAGATGCGAGTATTAACAAAAGTCTGACCAAAAACGCAGAACGCATACAAATGACTTGCTAAAAATGTACATTATGCAAGTCAAGAAGTTGTCTCTTACAGCTGCGAATCATTCAAATGAGGCAATCATCTCAGGAAGTAATATGGTGGAATCCTGAGAGTGTCTTGGATGCAATCTGGCCACTCGTCAGATACAGTTACATTAACAGTCCACCAATACTGTTGAATTAAGTACATACAAAAGGTAGAATAGTAATTGAACGGGGTCAACGATTTCCCAGATTGTGCTTGATACCTTTGGAACACTTGCAGAATATAAAATAAGAGCGCCATTTTAATGCAGTTTGTTCATGTTTAAATTTGCAAACACGCAATCTATAGCTTCGCACTTAATTTATCTACGTTCGTATGAGATTCGAAACTCCAGGAAAATCGCATTATACCGCATAATGCATGCGAGATTCCTCGATAGCATTAATTAATTGGTTTACATCCAGCCGTTTAATACAACAGTTAACAGATAGTTGGCCGTGAATAGTCATTAATTATATTGGCCGTATAAAAATGTAAATTAATAGCAGACGCCCATAAACTCCCAGGCTAAGTATATTGTGAAAGAGAAAGTTAATAAGGCCGTTTCGGTTCGATTTTTCAAATTAATTACATAATCCCACGACTAATATAATTATAAAGCTTCGACGAATACAGAAGCGGAAAAATTCCTACATGCGTGCGCTAATAAATTATTCATTATAAATTTTAATCCAGGTTTTTGTCACTAATTATCAAATAATTGACGGACAAGGAAGCGGTCATCACTTACCCTATTTTGGTGATTAGTTTTCCATGCACGTGAAGATAACTTGTCACGAATCGCTTATTGACCTGCAAACGAGCAAAAAATTATTCGAGCACAATCGTACAGAAAACAGTTAGCCCATAAAAAATACGAAAAAATTGAACGCACCTCGGGACACGGTAGAGCGGCTAAATCTTCCTCTTCGGAATCGACGTGCTTCGGTTCCTGTGCGGCGGAGGTGGTGCGATGCACGCGACGTCCCCCGTCGGGACGTATCCAAATTTCGCGCCGCAAGGACCCTGGCAAGCCAACCGTTTCCGACTCCTTTTCCTTCATGTGCTGTCGTGCCTTTTCCGCCCGTTCTTCTCGACGTTTTCGCTCCCCTTGTTCGTACTAAGTACAAAACCAATTAGTGCCTTAACACCACCAAGATGGCACAAATCCAAAAGTTTGCGTGCGTCAAACAATCTCCAATCGCAAATTCTAGCAACATTGGGGCATTTGTAACTTCTCCGAGTCCGGCATATAAATAATTAATGTACTGCATAAAATACAAGCAACATGCAATTTTACTACCGGTGGCGCCTGTAAATGTAGGTGGTCACAGTAACAAAAGGTTACCATCGGTTAGGTCTAACAACAATTGCATACGCGATGCATTATTTAAATTAAGCAACTGCAGTTTGCTCTTGTTTCTTGGTCAGAAGCAAATCTTGTGAACCTCTTCGGCTAAATTTCACCTAAAGATATGAACAGATGAAGGAACGAGGGATCCTTTATACTAACGTTCTAAACAAAAATGTGATATCATAATACTATTATGGTTCTTGCATACAATCCCCACCCCCGGACCCCCTTACCATTTACCATGGAAAATGAAAGAATGTTAAGTAATTTTCACGAAAAGCATCTGTAATTTCCACAATTTCCACTTTTTGGTGCAACCGTTCCCCCTAGTTTAATGCTGTACAGGGTGGTGGCTTGCGTAACGCATCATAGGGATTTCAATGTAAAATTCATAACATGCGATTATTGGCTCCCCAAATTATTTTAGAACAAAAAGCAGGTTTTTAGTAAAAAAAATTTTTTACGCCATTCAACCGTATTAGTTTTCAATTTTTTCATAAAAAAGACAGAAAATTGGAAAAATCCCGCATATTTTTCAATAATCTGCGATGCCATGGAATTTTTGAAAACAAAAAGATATACAGTTATCAATTAGCAATGGATTTTATGATCGACTACTCTCTTGCAGTTAATGGTCACTTATTTGATCATTTATTGTAAATTGTTATATTAGGAAACCGTTTTTAGTAATTTGGGCTTTCTTTATGTTGAATTCGCTGCTCTAAATATTATACTTTTTGATAGAAATTGATTTGTTTCATAGCAGACATTCCATGGGATGACGGATATTGGCGTAGTTTTTGTATTATAAAATTCCATGGCATCACAGATTATTGAAAAAGATGCGGGTTTTAAATTTCCAATTTTCCGTCTTTATTATGCAAAAAATTGAAAACTAATACGGTTGATAGACGTAAAAATTTTTTTTCTACAACCTTAATACATTTTTGCTCTAAAATAATTTGGGGAGCCAATAATCGCATGTTATGAATTTTACATTGAAATCCCTATGATGCGTGACACAAGTCACCACCCTGTATGTGCGGTATCGACTTTTCATACAAACATAATTAGAATTTGAAAACCAAAGTTGTAACTCTTGAACCAAAAAAGTAGATAAACACTTTGGTGGCATCAAGACACAACCAAAATCATATAATTTATTCCACTCCCTGTTCTGTTGTTGCAATTTGAATTTTTGACTTATGGCGTTCGCACACTGGGCAACCACGGTGGCGCCTCCATTATGGCTACATTGCGTAGCATTGATTCAATTGGAGCATACCACACTGAGCGTTTGTGGCCCGACTGACAGCGCTTCCAAGAATGCGGTGGCTAGGGTACAAAAAAAACGCTTTTGAAATTTTTGAAAAATCTTTGAAAGTAACTGAGATATCACCGAAAAACTAAAAATGTTAAATTTCGTTTTCATTTTCCTTAGATTAAACTTTTTTCGGAGAATCTGAATCTGTTATAAGAATTTCCATAGCGCACTAGATGTAGAAGCCACAGGCTACTACTTTCTTATTTCTTATGAGCGCCATATTGGATTTTGACGGAGTGAGCTAGAGGGAAAAAAAAGAAAAATAATTACGTGTCACACTCTATACTTTTACAGGCATTTACATACAAGAAACATTTCAAAAGCTGAAGTTTTACGTTAATTTCACAGCAAAACATCCACGGGTAACTAGATCTTGCTGAATCAACATGACTATGTTGGCAATGAATTCTAATGAATTTCCCTTTTTATCCTCTATCTCTTTCCGTAAAAATCCAATATGGCGTCCATAAGACATAAGAAAGTTGTTATGAAAAGTCTAATAACAGATTTAGATTCTGCGAAAAAAAGTGCCCATAGAAGATGCTAACTGGCACCGCCCACTACCGACCGTTTAAGCTAGGGAAAATTAAAGTGAAATTATTTAATATTCAGTTTTTGGATAGCTGCTATTTTCAAACATTTTTTTAAAATTTAAAATGAGCTTTTTTAGTCACAAAAAGGGTAAACTTTTCCCTATTTAACCTACGTACATTGTTATCTCTCACCATTACGGAGTACAACTTTTTTGGACAGTTTTTCTATGTTTTATTAAAGCAGACTGGAAAAAATTAATTTTCAGATTAGTTTGGCATACAATAATCGAAGTTGGACACCCTGTATGAGCGGGAATATTAGTAATAAATTAACTGGTTACACTTATAAACAGCCGCTTATAGTAGAATTTTGATGAAAATCTAGTTCTTACATTTTTAAGAGTCTTCTGTACCCACTGCACCCAATGTAAATTTCCATAAGAGCGCCCGCCATAAAAACTCTAGTTGTTTTTCAAAAAACAATTTTTTTAAAGAACTATTTTATAAATTTAGACCTTTATCTACAAAATGTTCGGACTATTTTTTTTTAAGTTTATAGCAACTGAATACCGATTGTTTAAAGATTAAATGTTTCGCACCGATTATTGCGCTGATCTGTTTTATTTTTTTACTCTCGATCAAGACGATTTATGGAAAAAGTAAACCGACAGTTTTTTAGATAAGTTACTTCTACACATAATCCCAAAAAATTAAATCATAATTTTTGTAAATAAAGTCTGTATCTTGGCGGGCGGTAATTCAACAATTTAAGTGTAACAAGTGGCGCCGCTGCACAGTGTCGGTGGGAACTAACTAAGGACCAAGACAGGAATTGACAAAGCAAGAAATTCATCTTATCTCTTGCAGCTATAATCATCTATACACTAAAATGCAAAAAAGTTGCGCTTAGGTAAAGAAGACTCTTAACAAAACGATTCATTATGTACTCACAATCAATATGAGCATTCAATTGGCAGAAGGGGAGAAATTGAATGACCACGTAGATCGCTAAATCATACCCCTCTAGATTTTGTGTGGACATTTTGAATTAGTTGATACTCACATTACAACATGAATTATCTGAACAAGTTCAAGAGAATTTGAATGTCTCCAAAATTTTTGCTTAAATTATTTTAATTTGTATAAATATTACTTTTTTTATGTCTCTATTTTACTTTCCTGAGTATAGCAATGTCTGCTCGGTCAAGGATTTTGGACACATTTCGCATCCTGATATATACCAGGCTGTTCCTAAATATGAGGAAGGGGCTAATTCTATGGCTTATTTTATGACGAAAAGTTCATATGAACGTAGCTACGTTACCAATCTAAGGAGTGTTAAAATTTCAAGCTTTTTCCAGTAGTTTTTTATTTGAAATATACGTTACGCTGAAGATCAATGGTGGTGAATTCTCAGTACAGGGTGTTTCTTTTTTCTGGGGTCATGTTCTATTTTCTAACCCTAAACAATTTTTTCGGTGCGCAACTGGTAGATTTTGAACCAGGAATTAATTTTCTTATTTGTTTAGAAACCTTTTGGTCTCTTGTTATTTTTCGTATCTCCTGTGACAGTTATCTTTATTGGATAATATCCTGTTTTTATTAGTTTGGACAATCGGTATTGAAAATTGTAAATTGTGTTTGAATATGTGTATAAACCAAAGGTTTAATTGTAAAGTGTACGGTAGAACTATACCACACTGTCGATCGGCAACGAAGCGTTTGCGGCCCTATGTTTATATTTTTTGGTCTTTATTTTTGAGTGGGCGGGGTATCAGCCAAGGCTGCTCTACCAACTCAACCCACTATACATTTACAAATATCCATACCCGAACCCGGGACACTTAGTACCGCAATCGAGCTTCAATTCAACTGTACCTCACGGGCCGTCATACAATCATAAAATAAACCAAAGAATTAGCCCCTTTCGTGTTTACATCATATTTAGGAACATCCTTCTACCTGTTAAACAAATAAAATAAAACAACTTCATTAAATGACTTATTACACGACCACTCCGTCTCATCTGAAATTATGGAGCGGAATGGAGCAGCATAAAACGATTTGGGTTCCCCTTGCTGCTGCCAAATGTTGGCGAATTAATTAATTAATTGCACACAAAAATTAAAATTTAAGAAAATTCTGTACAATCCAAAAATGGTAAAAAATCAAAATTCAATTAACCACATTTTTGGACAAATTAAAAATCGTATAATTCAGAAAATTGTATGAGGCTGATATAACATTTGACACTTGGAGTTATAAAACATAAAAGCAATCGCACAAGATACTGTTGTCATTTAATTAATTAAAATTAAAGATCTGAAACAAAAGCAAAACTTACTCAAATGTATAACAAATAAATTTAAAAAACGGTGGGCCACCACCGGGTATAGTTTCAATATTTATTGTTTATGTATAATTGAATCGGTCGCCAAAATGGGAGTTCGCTTTATATATTAGAAGATTAAAATTCTTTGGCGAATTGTTTATACGCAATAACTTTCGGAATTGCCCATACATAATTGCTACACGTACAAAAACCGTAACAAAATACAATGTGGAGATACCTACACATATTTGATGAATGTACTGCAGCATAACAAAAGGAAGAAAAGCATTAGTTTTAATGTTAGCGCATCATTCAATGCCGCTCGATATAAAATTGCAACTTTGACCACAACAATTTCGCACTGATGAACTGCGTTAAGTGTTTTTGTAACAATAGATGTTTCCTCAAAATTTTGACTGGGAGATTACAGTTATTGAAATAAAAACGAGACGCGCTAAATTAAGCTGTCATTTCGTAAAGATTTGCATCAAATTTACAGTTATTACTTGAACATTTGGAAAAAATGCTCTTTGAATATATGAATAATATTTGCATTGTGTAAATAGTGTAGTCAAAAAGTAGTGCACTTGTAACAGTGGTCAAGAGCTACGTCGCGACAGTTAAGTTCCTTTTTGAAAAAAAAGGAACCGTTAAGTTCCCACAAGGGGTTACGTTACCGACGAACGAACGCAATTGCAATTTTGAAAAGCCGAAATAACTAAATCGGTACTTACCTTTCTTGCATTCTCATCGAAAAGCGAGTTTAGATACTCTCTGGCGGATGAGACGGGATTCGATGACATTAAACTTCTCATGTAGTAATAAACGGCATCTAATTTCCTTCTCTGGAAACAACAACAAAAAATTGTTTACGACTTGTAAATTTGCTGTATAAAAACTGATGTATTAAGTATGGGTATTTGCGAATCGCAAACGCCAGTCATCACCAACATTAAATTGATGGAAACAAAATGTCTAAATGCGAATTATAAAATGAAGATGTTCGCCTCTAACTACCACATTGCTTGTACCCCTAGGGGACAGTAGTTCAAAGCCTTCCAAATTAAAAATAACCGAAATTTAAATCTGAACTGAAGAGCTAAGGCGTCCTGATCTTTTTTCACATTTTTTTTAAAGCAATTTGTTCATGTTATAAAAAGAATTCAAAAATGAACTCAATCGTTACACAAAAAAAGTTTCAAAAATTATTGATTACCGCACAATCACAGCCCTAATGAATCTTATAATCATAATTGTTTAGTTTCTTGGTTTTCTCTTTCGCTTTAGTGCACATGTGCCTCCAATAATCGTGAGAGTAGTCAAACACAATCTACCACTAAAAGATTCGACTTCGGAATTAAAATTAGGTAATAACATCAAGATTAATCTAGATATCGTACATCAAAATAAAACAAATGAAAGTGTACGTTTCTTATTACACCTCGAAATTAGCAGTAGAATGGGTCTTATCGCAATAGGTAAATGTTCAAAATGTCCGGCATGAACTAACTCCACGAAATCCTTGAACAAAAATCGATTTTCTTGTGTAAGGGTAGGTACTAAACGTGTTACATCATTACAAAGAGAAACAAAATGTCTATCAAACAAGCCTAATAAAAAGGTACATTGCTATTTTTAAAAAAATTGTTTTTCATTATTCATTTGTTTTCTGAAATAAAAACAAATGAATGCTATGGGAAATGAAATATAAAACAACTTTTATATACTTAGACAAATTTTGTATACAGTCGTTATTTACCGAGATATATACTATATTCCATACAGAATGGGCACCCTGTAATTACAAAAGTATTAATTCCCTTAAACTTTACATTGCTTCCCCTAACGCTCTTAAAAATTGACAGATGAGGGAGTTTTGTCCATCTTGCGAAAATTTTCGAAGATAAATTTATCAAACTTAAATTTAAATTCACCATTTGGTATTTAGAATCAAGTCAATTAAAAAATGTTCCACATGATACTTCCATGCAATTCCGTGGCGTGGCCATGTATTTAATTAAATTAAAGAGTATCCACACTTAAATATTACATACATAACTAAAAAAAACCATCTACTCCCCCCTAAGAACCCTAAACATTTACCTAGGGTAAAATTAAAGCGTACCTTGTACATATTTGCGATGAGTAACGCGATATTTGGTAAAATCTACACTTGCACTTTACGGTGGGAAAAACGCCTGTACTTATGCAACTCTAAGCACCCAATGCATGCATATCAAGTTGCGTGAATACACGCGATTTTTACGATTTTGGAACAATACACAGTTAGTATTTTTTGTGTCACCGAAACCAAAGACTTAACGGATTCGGAGACGTAGGGAGCGATCATCGACAATATTCCGACATATAAGGAATGCGTGAGTATGTCCGACGAGAACGCCCTACGCGGACTCATCGTGCTGCTGGAGGACGACGCCAGTCGAGAAGTCCACCTTCTTCTAGAAAGATGCCAGTCACCTGCTCGAGACGACGTTTGGCCCAGCTCTTCCAAGACCTCTTCGAAACGGAACAGGGCGAAGCTGACAAGGCGTAATTGTTCATCGTCCGAAAACGTGCAGCAATACTCGCAAGGATCGACAAGGACATCAGCGAGAACCTACCACTCCACATGGTTTACGGACTCCATGGCCGCATCCGCAAAAGGTGTTACGAACCTCCTTCACATCCTTTAAAGAACTACTTGAAGACCTTCATAGGATTAAAGAAGACGACACCGCCACGACGACCAGCAACCCACAACCCAAAACTGCACAACACACCCCTAAGAAACCCCGCTGTGTCTACGGCAAATACCTAGGCTACACACGCGACGAGTACCGAAAACGTAAGAGCCCAGAGGCTGCGATACAACCACCGCTACACCGATCGCCTGCTTTGGATGTGGCACTCCTGGAATAATCCGCAGACAATGTCCGAACTGGCGACCAGTAGGAGTCGCGGAATCAGACTTTTCTACCTCACAGACGTTTTCGCGATACAAAAGGCAATAGTGCGACCAATCGTACCACGGCAAAGCATCGCCGCCCACACGCTATACCATAAACTCCGCGCCTGGCGACGCAAACGGGAAACCGCGCCCACAACGCGTACTTACCACCGTGGCGCCAGTCGCATAGAAGGATAGAACCATCGGCATGCAATTCATCATAATACCAGAAGCCAGGAACCGAACCCTCCATACCCACAACACGCGTTCAAACCAGAACCCGCCGTTAGCATCATCACCACGGCAACACCGGAACCACGGGATGTCTAATACGAAATCTTACTACCGGCCGATCCAAGACGACAACCATACCCGAACTTGCATCTCTTCGGACGAAACCCCCAGCGCCAGCATAACGACAGAAGAAGATTCCGCGAATCACCTCGAATCCCTCCCGGAAGACATCGACCACTCGCTCCAATAGCCACCTGAAATAAACCCTTCCGACCACTACCGCCACCGTCAGTTTTCCCCCAACTCGCCGCGGAAAAGAATTAGACGCTCTCTTTCCCTCTACATGGGAAGACATCCAACCAGATCCGGCGAAGGAACGCCTCCTCAACGGACTGATCTAGGCAACCTCCTTGCCACGCAAGAAGACATTTTTACGCCGGGAGGGAGAGGCAATACCATACATCGAGACCGAACCATGCAAGCCAATTACTGCACCCCCACCATAGCGGCTAAAAACCGTGAAAACTACCACACTGCATCAACAATTGGGCGAGATGCAAGAGGCTTGGAATAGTGGGGGAATGTGAGTCTCCATGGACCGCCCCCGTAGGTATACCTACCAAACCGGATCGATCAATTAGGGTATCCGTAGATTACACACTACTGAACGCCACGCCATCTACTGCACACGGCCAAAGCACCATTGATGACCACTATCGATCTCTAGGAGGGTTATTGGCGGATATCCATGGCCAAAAAGGACCGTGACAAGACCGCATTCATCTCCCCTTTCGATCTCTACCGTTTCAAAAGGGTGCCATTCGGGTTAAGAAACTCGCCCGCCACATTTCAACGCCTTATCGACCGACTAAAAACTTAAAGGTGCGCAGATCGATGTGGCACTTACTGTGCTAAAAAATCAAATACCTAGGGCACCTCCTCACACCCAACGAACTTGGGATAGACAACAACAATCGCGGATCCACCACCACCACGCCACCTCATGTCCTTTGTCCAGACATGCGCATCTATCCCACCCTAGTCCCTAGTCATACAGTCTTATGATCGCCAAAACCTTATCCGCGGCGCGGATGTACAAGGGATGGGATTGGTCGCTACTGGCATTTATACGATGCCAGTAATATGCTAGTGCTGGCAGGACAGTAAGACTGGCGCCAGCTACTGGATACGTGTAAAGGCGCCTTGAAGGCTATACTGGTCAAATATGACCACGCCCATTACCCGGAAAAACTAGCACCAGAGCTCCTGCCATGGAAAGCCGGGCCCTACAGAAACCTGCAGACCATTTTGCCAACCTCCTAGAAGATAGACGATCGAGACACACCAGGAAAACTAATAGGCACCTACCACGCGCCAACCCTAAGACCCTTGTGAACTTCCTCTATTCACCCATGCAAAAAATTCCGTTTTTTGTTGATTCTTAAAAAGCCAATATCACTTCTTTGTCTTTTAGAAAATGAGCTTTCATAACGTGGTGATATCTTATGGGTAAAAGAATAAACAACACAATCAATTTAGTTAACAAAACGACTTACTAGTATGTAGCCTCCACAAGCAATTATTCACAAAATTTAAAAGCAGTTTTCTTGAGTACATGATTACTTACATTGGTCCTTTTAGAACCAAGTCCCAGCATTATATTTCCAACCAATAATTGGTAGACACTAAAATATGTATTACTCGTGATATGATCAAAAAAGCATCTTTTGTATTATGGCTAGATAAACAAGACACATGTTTAAGCACAAAATTTTAATTAATCTTTGCACTTACCCTTTTTTGATGAAGTTCCTGGGCCACAAGAGGGATAAGGAAGAGGAATAAGGTAAAGAAAGAGGTTAATTACTATTATTTAATGAGCAAACCATACGTGTAAGAGTTTGTATGAGATCAAACTGTATCACTTATCTTCACGAAGGACTGAATTCAATTGACCAGTTATCTACGCGACTTTGGCAAATTACAAAATTGTGGAAAATAAAATGTTCATTTTATAATATGCATGTGAAAACCAAACAATAACAATTTCATAAAACAAATATGAAAAAGCTGAAATTGGTATGGTAAAAAGACCTTAAATTAATCAAAACTGAAATGGCTTGCTAGAAAAAACTAAGGAACCGCACAACTTTTTAGGATGGCATCAACTGTAAGCATACACTCCATGTTGTACACGTCGATATTTTTTCAGATCTTAATTTTGTGCTACTTTTTGCGTAATTAGTATACAGGGTGGTGACTTGCGTAACGCATCATAGGGATTTCAATGTAAAATTCATAACATGAGATTATTGGCTCCCCAAATTATTTTAGAGCAAACATTTATTAAGGTTTTTTGTAGAAAAATTTTTTTTACGCCAATCAACTGTATTAGTTTTCAATTTTTTGCATAATAAAGATGGAAAATTGGAAAAATAAAACCCGCATCTTTTTCAATAATTTGCGATGCCATGGAATTTTCTAAAACATAAAGATATCCAGTTATCAATTAGCAGCAGTTCGAAATGGATTTTATGATCGACTTGGTTACTGCCTTGCAGTTAACTTATTCGAACATTTATTGTAAATTGTTATATTAGGAAACCGTTTTTAGTAATTTGGCCTTTCTTTATGTTGAATTCGCTGTTATAAATATAATACTTTTTGATAGAATTTTATTTGTTTTATAGCAGACATTCCATGGCATGACGGATATTGGCGTAGTTTTTGCATTACAAAATTCCATGGCATCACAGATTATTGAAAAAGATGGAGGTTTTATTTTTCCAATTTTCCGTCTTTTTTATGCAAAAAATTGAAAACTAATACGGTTGATTGTCGTAAAAAAAATTTTTCTACAAAAACCTTAATACATTTTTGCTCTAAATTAATTTGGGGAGCCAATAATCGCATGTTATGAATGTTACATTGAAATCCCTATGATGCGTTACGCAAGTCACCACCCTGTATAACATCTGTGCTTTTATAGTTTTTGAATTATTCAAATCTTTAGAATAAAATTCCCACTGCAAGTAAATATAAATATAGGGAATAAATTTAACGTTGGTGGCGCTGCCGTGATAGACTAAAGGGAACCATTTAGACATAAAGGTTTCTTAGACGTTTTAACAATACAAACAGTAGCCACTTTTATATAGATACTTACTGCATATACCGCCAATACTGCTAGTTGGTTATACGGTCGTCCATTCTTAGGATTTATTTCGTGCGCCTTAATGTACCATCTGCAAAAATAATCGCAACATGACTCTCTTTTGCTAACTGTACTGTTGGCAAACTTACTGTCTACACTTGCCATAATTAGAAGTCTCATTAACCTGTTCCCTGTATCGCACCAGATCCCCCAAAAAAATGAAAATCTTCTGAGTGGATATCAAGGCGAGTCCAACAAGTCCTAAACCCTTCTGCGGCGTTAAACTGTTGTAACCCAAATGATCGCTCACTTTAAATTTGTACGTTTGTTCTAACAGCTCTACCAAACTTTCGAAATATTTTGTACCTTCGTCAATAAGAGACAATACGAATTCCTTGTATTGTTTTTTATTGCTAGGATCATTGGTTATTGCTTGTCTCATCATCTCAATAATATTATGGTACAAAATCCGCCAGAAATGCTGCTCTACATTCTCCGACTGGCAAAATTTCATATCCTTACAAAGTAAGTAGTTGAGGCTATCCATTAGAAACCTTCTCAGGCCGATCACGGTCTCCCAGCTTCTTAAAATTAATCCGGAATTATTTATAAGCTGTAGCTCGTAATCGGCCTGCTTTATACTCTTCAGCAAAGGAACCGAGTGGCATATTCGCCAGCCTTCCGAATTCTCGTCGTACCACGTCGGACCCACGTTTCCGAATTGATCCGTTACGTACTGGTGCAATTGAGGCGGCGAATTTTCGCTGCTCTCCGAAAATCCGGGCGCGCTTATCCGCACGCTACTGGATTTTACAATTATTGGTTTACTGGGATTGCTAGGATCGAAGAGACTCTTCTGCTGGCCGCTGTTCGTTTTCTTAATGTCAGGATATCGCGGGCATTCTACGTTGATCGATTTCGGTCTCTCCGGGTCTTTAGTGGGGAGTACAATGATACCGCCCTTCTTCATTTCAATGTCTTTAGCCTCGTCCCTTTCGGTATTGTGTTTATTTCTTATGGTATCCTCTCGCCAATTTTCATGCTGAGTTCGAGAACTGTCACCGCGCTCGAAACTCGACTCTCTACTGGCGTTTTTATCTCGCGAAGTTTTACGTCTTCTAAACCGTGACTCTGACGCTTTCTCTCCATTATTGTAGTAATTGTTGTGATCGTCTTTGTTACGTTGTGAAGCGTATTTGTTTGCAAATTGATTATCGTTGCTGTGCTCTCTGAACCGACTGCTGCTCCTAGTAGTTAGAAAATTGAAATATTGTTACATATTTTTACTGCAAATAAAATTCTAAAATGAAGGTTTGCCCCCTCATTCTGTAAGCGCTAACAACATTCAATTGCGATTGTGGCCAATTTAATTAATTGTTAACGGTGTTAGCAGTTGTTAATGATCTGTAATTTTAGGTTCAGTAACATTATACAGAATACATGCTCATCAAAGTTGTGGAATAACACCGTTCTGTCATTGTAATGCACCTTCTCCATAAGCATGCCTTAAACTAGAATATGTACTACAGGAGATAGTGTGGCCACCATGTTCCATTTGATTATTAATATATCATCGTTAGACCTGTAAAATCATAGGCAGGTCGAAATCTGACCAAAATTGAAAACAGAGCTGGGCAGTATTCGATTTTGTAAATACTATTTTGTATTCAAATACTTTAAAGTATTCAAATACATTGTAATTAAATACTTTTATGGAAGCAGTATTTGTATTTGTAACTCAAGTACTTTCGCAAACATTTAGTATTCGAATACTTAGCAAAGTATTCGAATACTTCGCACCTTTAAGTTATTCAAATATTTGAGAACTATTTAGAAATGTTTAGAAGTTTCCATTATCACAAAATCAAATATAAAAATCTGATACAACTCAATACCGAACGATCCTGGAGTGAAACTTTTTGACTCGATAGTCTACGTAACTTAAAAACAATAGGGACCTTTTTTATATCCTTAAGACCATGTGTATCAATTTTCAAAGCGATCGCACGTTTCTAAAGAACTTATCGTGCACACGGACAGACGGACGGACTGAAAAGGATCTATTTCAAAATCACTAGGATTAATTTCGGAAAGGTGTACACGTGTTCTTAAGGATATAACTGATATAAGAAACGTCCGGAGGGCCTGGTACCTGCTATATCTTGTACTATTTTAAATTTTTAAAGGTTTTGAGTGTCAAGTATTTGAATACTTTTCAAAGTATTCGAATACTTTTTATAGTATTCGAATACCTTTGATAGTATCAGAATACTTTTGAAAGTATTCGAGTACCTTTGAAAGTATTCCAATACTTTTGAAAGTATTCGAATACATTCTAAAGTATTTGAATACTTATTTTTGAAAGTATTTGAATACTTTTCAAAGTATCTGTATTTAGTATTTGCTTGTGCTGTACGTAAAAGTATTTAGTATTCAAATACTTTTGATTTGTCTAAAGTATTTACTATTTAGTATTCAAATACTTTTTGAAAGTATTCTCCCAGCTCTGATTGAAAACTATTTAAGCCTTAGCATAGAGGCATGGCCTTAGTAAATAATTTACTGTATGGCCTTAGTAATATTGACTTCAAAGTAAGTTGTGTGTGACCCATCACCTGCATTAAAAGAGGCATCTGAAAGTAAGACATTCTTTGGTCTAAATATCGTGTAAGACATGATAAAGTCATTTTGACGCGATAAGTCATAGACAACGAAGTTTACATGTAAGTATAAACAACCATTCTAGTGAACTGATGCCAATTTTGTGTAGAAAGTAGTCATTTATTCTGAGCGTGAAATCCACCGCCCTAATCCCAGGATACCAAATCTTGTTGTAAACTTAGGATAAGACATTTTAAAATTGCATGGTTGTTGAGAATGTCCCAATAAAATTATACCAACCCCCCTTTTAAACGCCTGCTTTTATTACCCACTACCACCCAATTGAGTGTGTGCCTGCAGACACAAAATAATTATGTTTAACATTTTGTAACAAGCTGTTTACAGTTCATCCCTCTACAAGAACTCACCCCCTCACCAAAAACACAATCACTAGTTAACAGCACATCATAACCATATTCGAAAATGATCTCATTTTACATTTTCTGGAGAACAGTCACAATCCACAAACAAAAAAATCTCTTGTGTAAATCAATAAACCTTTTGACTGCCACACACGTTCTAAACATTGTCAAAATGGATTAGTTCTTTGTAATACATTTCCCTCTTCATTAGATATGTGATCACATAAAACACTGAAGTTATCATTGTAATTGTCACAGTTGCTTACAAGTTGTTACGAAGCACATCTAGGACTCTAAGGTACACTCTCATCTTTTTACGAAGTTTCAGTTCATTTATCTTGTTGAAATCAGTATTTTGAAAGTAATTATGGCAATAAAAGAGCTGTGCAAAAAGAAACATTGGAACAATGGAATTTTAATCATTATAAAATAATCAATTTCCTGATCATCGATAACCAGATAATCGGTTATTTGATAACCAATTATTTCCAAGGTGCATTTGGACTGGAGCACGCACGAGCCGAGCGTGCGCGCATAGCATTTAGGTGGTTGCGCATTGATAATTTACAATGGCCAAAAGTAACCAACATTGTAGTTTTTATGGCTGTAAAACTAAATACACTTGCAAAAATTTCGTTTGCAGTCCATACAATTACACCTTAAAGAGCAAGGATAGTTTAAAACGTCACACAACTTCAGAAATGTACTGTAACGAATATTAAGAAGAGTGCAAAGGTCTTTTGAGGAGCAAATTGATCTATGCCTACCAAAAAATGGAACATTTTGTTACATTTCTTTTCATAAAAATAACTTAGATTTTTTATTTTTTATACATTTATTGGAAGTGCACAAACATGTTACTAATTTGTGGGTAGGTTTGGTAAAAAATAATTAATAACCTACAAAACTACGGGGTTTAGACACTGGAAATCCTTTATAAAAATTGCAGAGAACACAACAGACTATCGAATAGCGAAATAAAATAGTGGTAGTTTCTGTCAACAAGATGGTAACAGTGCAAAGAATCGAAAAGTGAATATAGCGTTCAATGTAGAGGTTAACAAATGACATGGAAATCTACACAGGGTGTTCTATTTTTAAAAAAAGTTATTGACACCGTAAAAATAGGACATCCTGTACATTCAAAAATAATTTCTATGGTTGACATTCGCACCCACGGTTTTTTTACAATGTATGAGCTAGGAAAGACAGACGTACTGTTGCAACTCGCTGTATAATATCTGGGAGAAAATTGGGGAAAAAGTTAAAAACGTGGTAACTCGCGATTTCCCCCCACAAAATTTGTCAAGTGACTAATCCAAAAAATCTTTTGTCATTCTGGGCACGGGGTTGTGCTACACCGTATGAGAAAGAAACCACAATGAAACTAGTAGTGGTACAAAATATACACCATGGTTTTGACTCATGGGCGAAGTTAGAGGAGCGCTTGGAGGGGTAAGCACTCCCCCATGACCACACACAAGCATACTATAAAGCACAAATATCTATTTCTCAATCATTTCTACAAATATTTGCATTTAATGTAGGTATGTTCATTTAAAAATTTCCTATACAGAATGTCCTAAATTCGGGGGTGACCATTGGATTTCAACAACTGTAAAAGATACAGAATCAGTTGTTAAATAGAAACAAAGTTGCGCATTTTGGTGCGGAATCTAACACTGTGAAAAGTGAAATTATTCCAAATATTTTTAGATATCCAAAAAAAAATTGGAATTTAAATGTAATAGTACAGTCAAATTAGATCAAATTTCCACGAATAGCGGAAGTAATTGAAAGAAAGCTGAAAATTGGTATAGAGGTACATTAGGGCTTGTATTCGAACATACTAAAAGTCGGGGCCGAAACTCCTAGAGCTCGAGCCGCCATCTTGGAAAAAAGGTACTCCAAATCACTTTTTCGCTAATATCTCGGTAATCGTGCATTCTAGCAAGTAAAGTTTCACATAAAAAAAGAAAGATAATAAAATTTTGTATAAAAAAAATGGTATGCACTTTTTTTGTATTTTCGATATTTACGTCGATATTCCACATTGAATATAGAGCATACTCTTTTTTCAGATGTAGCTGCATTACTTTCAGCGCTCGCGTGCTTTAAACATGAATATGTTTAAAAAATTGATTTAGTTGACATTTTAGGGCCTGTTGACCAGTGAAGAGAAGGGCAGTTTTATCTAAAATTAAACACTTACGACATATCGTACTCACTCAACAGATGCGTGTTTTGTATTTCTCGTTAATACAATCACTGTTAATGTATGGAATTGTTGGCTGGGGGTATTTTATGCTAGTGAATCCTTATACAGCCTTATACAGGGTGGTGCCTAGCACGACGCAGCACAGGGATGTCAATGGTAATTTCTTTATAGTCAATTACTAGCTCCCCTAATTATTTTAGAGCAAAAGTCTAAAGAAGTTTTTTTTAGAGAAAAAATTACTGCATCTGTTCATACTATTACTTATAATTTTCCGTTTTTCAAAACCGTAGAAATCGACAAAATAAAAAATTACATTTTTATAAATCAGTGATACTTGGGAATCTTTTGACCAACTACAAGCGCATCACATCTAAGTTATCGTTGTTTGACGTCCAACGGTTTTTATATTTAATTCTGTAATCTTGTACCTTACCTACTGCTTGGAATCGGCCAATTGGGTTACTTAACACCTTTGATTATAAAAAGTCTATATTCAAAGCTTAACACTAAATACACACGTTACTTGGCGGGCATTATTTCCAGCATAAAACAACTTTAACTTTAACATTGCTCGTCAGTTAAATACATGATAAACAATTTTATGATTAACTAATTTATAAACTTTTACTCTAAAATAATTAGGGGAGCTAGTAATTGACTATAAAGAAATTACCATTGACATCCCTGTGCCGCGTTGCGCTAGGCACCACCCTGTATAAGGAATCAAATGTAATGAATTTACGCCAACTTTACTGTAACAAAATCCTCCAGTTCATAAAAACATCCAAAATTACTGCCCAACATGCACTCTCATTATACACGCCAGGAAGACCATAATATACTTTTTCCAAGGTCTGAAAAAACAATCGGTAAACGATGTGCTCAGTACATTGCTCCAAGGCTTTATTCCATTCTACCGCGCGAAACGAAAAAGATATCTACCTATACCGCTTTCACGAAAAAAGTTCAGGTGTGGATACTGGAACAGATCTATGTACTATTTCGCGAATTGTTAATGGAAATGTTTAGTTTAGTTTATTATTTTTAGTATTTTTTTTATGAAATGAAGTCAAGTTTGATTTTTTTTTTTGTAAATGCCCCATATCCATTACAAGTAGTTCAAACGACTTCGGATTTTGGCAATATTTATTTTTCATAGTTTCCTTATGTAGGTATCTTTTGTATTCGGCTATATAGTATAAAAATAAATATATTATGTATTATTTCCTTCTCTTAGGTGGTCAACAGGCCTTAACAATGTCAGTCAATTTTTTAAACATATGTTTAAAGCACGCGAGCGCTGAAAGTAATGCACCTGCATCTGAAAAAAGATTATGCTCTATACTCAATGCGGAATATCGACGTAAATAACGAAAATACAGAAAAAGTGCGTACCATCTTTTTTATACAAAATTTTATTACCTATCTTTCTTTTTTCATATAAAACTTTACTTGCTAAAATGCACGGTTACCGAGATATCAGCGAAAAAGTGATTTGGAGCACCTTTTTTCCAAGATGGCGGCTCGAACCATTGGAGTTTTGGTCCCGACTTTTAGTATGTTCGAATACAAGCCCTAATGTACCTCTATACCAATTTTCAGCTTTCTTTCAATTATTTCCGCTATTTTTCCTAATTTGACTGGCCTATAACTCTTCTGGGCAAGTGTACCTTAGTTCCCAGAGGCGTCTATATATTATACAAAAGGATTTTGCAGTATTGAATAACATCCCCCTCCCTCCTCCACTGTAAAGAAAATTTAATTTGATGGAACGAAATAATAAAAATTCAGCGCCAGATCGAAGCCATTGTTAGTTTTTATTTAAATAAATAATTGAAATTGCGCGTGTAATCATAATTAGCTCGTAATTTATGCTATAACTTTATTTTACAGAAATAAATTAAGGTGGACAGCCATCTAACTTCAAATAGGCTGATGCTGTCCCATGATAAATATTTGGACCCAAAAAGTCGGTGAGTGTGGACTACCGCCAGTTCCTTAATCTGGCGCTGAATTGATTGACATTCCAGTAAGAATTAAAAAAACAGCGCAATATGTCCACCATCTCCACACAGTGTTATAAAATAAGGTCATAAAAAACAGAACAGTATGTGATTTTCCACAGTATAGAGGTTAACACAGCACAAACTTACCTTTTCTTACTCCTTTTGTTTCTCCTACAAGATAAAGAGAAATGCTTAGTAAACAACCACAAAAAAGTTAATGTCTCAAAACCGAATAAAGTTTTTAATAAAAGCAAACCCCGCGCGAGTTCTACGACTGTTACCTTTTGTTTTTTCTCCTAGAGCTAGAGGGCTGAGACACAGTGTTGGGTTCCACCAAGCTAGCCATTGACGAACTTCTTGTAACGACATCACTGAATGCTTCTTCCGCATCAAGTTGAACTTGCAGTTCAACTTCCTCGCTCCAGTCCTAGACAAATTAATTAAGAAGCTGTCTTAGGACCTAATGCACTCACTAATATCCGATTGTTGTCAGGTACAGTTGCGATTGGGGGTGGTGTCGGTTCCGTAGCGGCTGGAGGTGGACTAGGAGACGGCGCGGACATACACTGAGGTTCCTCATGAAATTTGTGTGTCGGTGCGCTTTGCTCAGTTTGATTTTTGGGATAGTCTTCTCTTCTCGTGTCTCTTCTACCTGCCGTGTTGTGAGTGAAGTTACCCCTATTTCTTGGCATCCGATTTGATGATTCGAAACGATTACCACCTCTGTACAAATTTTCATTGCTTCTAGTTTTGTGTTGGTACATTAAAGGCGTGGTAGGGCGTGAGTTTGTCGGGCTACCTCTTTGAACTCGGTCGGGCGTTACACTACGATAGGACCCGCCGACCGAGTACTCGTAATCTTGCGGCATTCTACTACGCCCTCTACCTCGACGTGGCAGTGTGTAATATGAACTGTTGTAATTATCAGACATATGTTGATTATGATAAGGTGGTTCCATGTGCATGTTTGAATGTGGCAGGGAAGTCGGTGGTTTCATGGGGTAACCTTGCTGAGATTGTTGGTTGCTGTGATGTTGATTGGAACCCTGAAATCAAAGCTTAGAATAACATCGGCTGGCTCTTGGTCTATTAAGATAGGAACTACTTAGGATAGTCAGATCACCAACGAGTCTAAAAGGGAAAATAAGAAGATCAAGAAATGAAAAGACAAAACGCAAAAACGAAGAGAGTTACATTTATGGACAAAGGACACGGTGGAGCTGTATAGAGGGAGACTAAAGGGACAAGGATAAGAAATTGGAGGGAATACAGAAAAGGAGTGGAATAATATAAAGGGGAATATTAAAAACGCCATAACGTGGAAACAAATAACTGAAGGGGAGAGCCCGGCCCGTGTGGCGCAGTTCAGTTAAAGCTGAACTGTGGTGCTAAGGGTCACTGGTTCGAATCCGGGTTCGGGCATGGATATTTGTAAATGTATAGTGGGTTGGGTTGGTAGAGCAGACTTGGCTGAAACCCCGCTCACTCAAAAATAAAGACAAAATTAAGACAATAAAATTTAAAAAAAAATAAAAAAGAGAAAAATGAACGGAATGGTGAGCCAAAGAGTTTACAAAAACGAGAATTAGATAGAGAAAGAAAGTAGAGAAAATTAAAGAGAAAAAGATGGAGAAACTAAAAAAATACGAAGAGCAAATCATGAAAATTAAAACAAAAAAGGATTTTTGAAAGATGATACAGAGGAAAAATAGTACAAGTGGGAGGGAAATACAATTAGAGGAATTTGTCAAGTTACTACAAGGAAAGCAGGAGAAAGAGAAGGCCATGAAAGAAGTAGGAAGGTGGAAGAGGTTGAAGGATGAGACAATAAAAGAGGAGATCTAGCAGCAATTAAACAGGCTGAAGAAAAAAAAGCAGCAGGGAGAGACGAGCTAATGCGGCGTGGATTTTCGCCACAGATCAGCTAAATACCTTAATATATTAATACAGCAAACTGGCATTGAAAACCGGTCGCAAATTACAGCGCCACGACGTTGCGGTAAGATTGTGTCAACAGTAAGCTGTCATACTTGGTTTAAACTTTATTGATGGTTTTACGTGCTTTGTGATAGTTATTGTTATGGATAAATTGGTAATATCTTACATATTAAACATCCTTGCTTATATAATTTACTCCTTAATTTTTCGTCATTCCACACCGGACCGTGTAGATGGCGCTCTCTTCCGTCTCTCGCTAAAGTCACTAGATATAGAAAGTACCGCAATCATCCGCCATTTTTGGGCAAATTTGCTGCCAACTTAAAAAAATTGACAAAAAAAATCTGAATAGCTGTAATTTTTTATAACCTAACTTCATAGTACTGTCATGTTTTATAAAAATATATACAGATATCTCCAAACAGCTGGAACAATCCTAAAGTTACGAGAATCTGGTAACTTCCGCCATTTTTGGGCAAAAATCATACGTTCTCTCTCTAGCACACGAGCCCAATAGATTGCGGTACTTTCTATATTTAGTGACTTTATCTCTCGCGTTATGCAACTGCAAATACTAGCGAGTTTCCTATATTAATATATTAAGGTATAAGCTCAAAGAAAGAATGAGATATCTTGTAAACAAGGTATGGAAAGGAAGGGGTTTAGACCTAGATGCACAAATATAACAGAGAGTGAAGATAGAGGGCGGATCCGGTAGTAGTAATTATAAAGAGCTAATGAGAGGGAGTGGCTATGAAAATATATGTGTGAAGGAAGCAAAGATTAAAACAATAGCCAGATTCCAATGCGGAAAGGAAAGAGCAATGGAGATAAGAAGAAAGAAAATGTAGAATATGCGGAGAGGAAGAAGAGGCCATAGAATACATGTTATGGAACTGTACTGAGGTGGAAATGACAGGGAGAAGTAGGAATGAGGTGCTGGAGGATGACGGCGATACTAAAGAAAAGAGTAGAAAAAGTCGCATTTAAGTTATAATTTATAGTGTAAAAAGTTTTGCCATTTTGGCGTCCAATAAAGATTAAATGATTAATTGACTGAATAACTGAGAAGGGCAGGGGCATAAACGACGGTATTCGGGGCGCAAACATGCGCAATCAGTCGCTCTGAGAAAATATAATCATTTGTAAAATTGGGGGTATATAAGACATATGCTCGGTTTCGGCGGCTGCGCCGGCTCACCTCACCCACCCGACGTACTTCATACCACCTTTTCGTTTTCTTGTATGGGACTTACGTTCGGTTTCAGCGGCTGCGCCGCCTCACCTCACATTCTCGGCGAACTATATAATCACCTAGCGGCATGAAATATAACTTACGATCTATTCTCATCTCTAGCAAATATAACAGTTGGCTTAGAAAATAATGAAAACTAGTTCAGAGATGGAAAACAACAGCACTCTCTAATTCAGTTTTTTTTTAAGTGAGCATGGAGATAATTTCATTGAATGTTCACTTTTAAGAAAAATTCACTTTATATCGTTGAATGAGTTGTGTTTCGAACATTTTACGTTACGAACAATATACTGCATAGTTACTCCACAAGGTAACAAAGCAACATTATGCTCCCCCATACTGTGGTTCATCAAATCAAGGAATTGTAGTTTTGATTTGTTTAAAACTTCATTGCTATCACACCAATAAATTATTATGACAGGTTTTCAATACCCATAAAATCTCTAAAAAGGTAATAAAAGACTAACGAATGTTCTTGAATCCTCTTGAAGATACTTAAAAACTGAAATAGTTGTGAATAAGCTCAACGTCTCATAAATCCTCTTAAGGATTTGCTCTAAAAGACTAATACAGGGTAAGGAAGATGGCTCTTAAACTCTTCAAGGCTCTTAAAAAGTGTCAGCCTCATAAAGACACTAAAGTAGATTCTGAAAGTTCTTGGAAACTCTTCTCAACACTCTTAGAGACTGTAAATTCTCAAGAAGACTCCTCTTGAAAGCTCTTGACATATGTTGAAGACTGTTGAAACTTTTAAAAGATTTTAAAAACTAAAAATCCTCTAGAAAACTGTTGGAAGCTTTTAAATGTCGATTAAAAAAAAGGTTTAGGTATTTTTTTATTGAAAATTGAAATACCTAGTTTGTCTTTTTTAACCTTTTTTTAATAAATCTTCAACAAACTATAATAAAATGGAGACCTTCATACTACTTTTGAATGTCCTTGAAAATTCGTAAATGCTATTGAAGACTGCAACAAAGTGGAAAATGCTCTAGAAATCTGTAGCACAGCCTGGAACTCTTTTCAGGTTCAAGTGTCTAGAAAGTTCTTAGACACACTTGACTGGAAGCTCCTTAGTGGTTTCCAAATATTTTTCAAAAACTTTGGACACAAACCGTTGTCGGCTAAACTATTAATTTATGGTTGTACAGTTACTTTTGGACGTGTCATACTCCTCAAATTCAAGCATAGACACAGAGAAAAATAAAACTTTTGTTATAATTACCTGAAATACCAAACTGTTGCCATCCCACGTCCCTTCCGAATGTGTACCGATATAATTGACATCAAGTTTGTTCTCCTCCAAGTATTTCTTTTTAAACCGAGGCGGCAGCGAATCCAAATTCTTCTGCTGTCGTTTCTCCTGCTCCAAACCGACGCTACTGTGCCTCCTTCCGCTCGGAGGTTTCGTATACATATGTCCGCCGCCGTAATTTCGAGGTGGGGGGCCGCCACCAGACGGATCGACGCTTCGCGTGTCGCGCACTCCCCGATTCCAATTGTTCGGCTGATATGCACGCGGTTCGGATCCCTGTCGAACGTCCCTTCGACTAGGCGAATTTGACCTCCAGTTTTCCTGTAGGTCGATTACGTCGCTAGGCCTACGTCTGTTGGAGTAACGTTTGGATCTAGGATCGCTTTCGCTTCCATTATTATTAGCTACACTTTTATTATCTATGTGTGACAAATTATCATTCGAACGATTAATACTAGGGGTTTCACGTGCTTGAGCAACGGGTTTCGGTACATAAAACGTTTGGTCTGGTTTCTTAGTTCTTCGTCTGGAGTCATCCTTAATATCTAAATCACCGATTTTGTAATCTAAAGCTTCGATTTCAATGTTATTTCTATCGTTTTTGTGTTTGTAACGATAATGTGAGTCTTTAGAGTAGTGCGGCCGGGAATGCGCGAAGCTGGTATCCGACTCGGTATCTTCTAAGTGCTGCCCGGTTTTTCGCAAAGGTCCGCTTCCTGGCTTGTAAATTTGCTGGTGAGGTCTTCCACGGTTCATATTTAAAACTGAAGAATAAAAATCTGTGCTAGTATTTGAAGGTTATGTATACAACAAAAAGGTTATGTAAGTATCAAAACACTTATTGCACATTTTAAAGAAAGGAAAATGCGGAAACTACTCACCAAATTATAGAAAACTCAAGAAAATTGTATATAAACATAAAAGATTTCGTAAAGTTATGACACCTATAGCTTGACAGTTTGCACAATGGAGAAGTTATCGGAATCAAAATAAACAGATTACGAACAGGAATTTACCAGATTTCTATCAAACTGATAAAACAAACAAAATTATGATAATTTTTTCAAATTTCGGATCTGTCGAAATTGAAAGTTGTGTAAATTTCGTTAACCTTGAAAATTATTTTTGTAACGGGTGAAAAATTAAAACGCGGGAAATTCAAAATTTACGGTGCCTGTTGCCGCAATGGAGACTGTAAAACATCGGGGACCCAAGAGAAAATCCATTGCGGGGCCGTTAATGTTACCGTTGCCGTTGGAGGCTGCGAACATTTTCAAGGTAACCAGTTCGTTCGTACGAGACCAGACGGGAAATACTTTGAAAAGTGCAATGGGAGCCATGGCCGCTATGGAGAATTTACTAATCGAAGGAGGTATCAGCATAGCATCGTCAATGTAATTTACTCCATTTTATTATGCGAAATATCTCACTAAAAATTATACTCTTATATGCATTACACACCATAGGTTTGTTCGTTGGTTTCATGGAACTTGCTCCACTCCGAAAGCTGATGACAGCAATGCCTCCCCAAGGAAGCCAACGAAGAAATCATACGCTTAGTTGCGCCTTAACTATAAGCCCAAACCAACCCGTCCAATTTTCTGTCTGATCATAAAACATGTGGTATAGGGGAAGCCGGGGCTAGTTATGGTAGGTTCACTTTTCACATGAGGGGGATGCATTCAGTTTCCAGATTAGTTATGTGTTAGGTACCTAATTCTCAAAATGGACAATGCTTGAACTCCAGAATTTTAATATTAATAATAATAATTATAATAAATTTTTCTGCAAGGTTGTAAGTGTACCAAGCAACTCTGTATTCGGAGAATGTTGGTAAATAGGTATCAAGGGGTTGGTTGGTAAAAGCAAAAACTAAGGTAAATCAGTAGTAATGATTTTAATTCCTTACAAGCACAAATACAAAAAATCGTTATTAATGATTTACATCCGAATCGCAGCTATGGCATAGGTACATACAACACTACAGTACTACACTACTTGAATCGTCTTTAAATGTTCTTAAATTTTTTGTATTTGCTTGTTTCTTCTTTCTTGAGACTCTTGAGGTATAGGTCGTCTAGTATAAAAGCAGTCGCAGTTAGCCGCCCACTGCAAAACTGATGTCTTTTTCTTCGCGTGGGCTAGATAGTGAACTGAAAATACCTATAATTTGCGTACACTTCACAGGCGACCAGTTTTGCAGTGCGCGATGATTGGCGTAACTGTTTTTATACTAGTGGAGCAATAGTGTAAAACATTAAACGTTAATATGTTTTAGCGAAACAACCAGAGAAGCACTGTGTCTAAAATATACGGAGGACTTCGAAGGAATCGTTATCGGTTTTACTGACGGCACGGTGCGCATTTTCAACACAAATACCGCGAAACTGATTCGCAGTTTACATGACGAAGAAACCGAAAAGAATAGCTGCCCAGTCACCTGCATCCAACACCGTCCCGTTTCAAAAAATTATCCAGTCGTGAACTGCGTAACTTGCACGTGTAGGTATTTCGAAACCAGACGAATGTTTTTTACAAATTTTCCTTAGACACTGACGGTTGCGTTAAAAGTTGGAACCATAATTCTGGCCAATGCATTTACACCATAAGGGAAAATCGGCAAACTTACGGGGTAACTTACCATCCTCGCCTGCCCAAATTTGTTACTTACGGGGATGATCTCAAAGTGAACTTGTACGACGAAGAAACGCGAACCCAGGAACGCATTCTCGCCTCCAGGTACTTATATCCGCGTTTGGGATGAACAAAGACTTTAGTTAGTTGCTTTAGCGAAATGCCAGGCGAATTGAATGGGCACGCGTCCAGGATTTTTGCAGCGTGTTTCAATCCCCGCTCCAACCACGAGTTAATTACGGGAGGTTGGGATGATATCGTCTACTTCTGGGACTTGCGTCAGCCTTACGCCATCAGGCATCTTTCCCGCATCCATATGTGCGGTCAAGGTTTGGACATCAGTAGGAAAGGAACTGAAGCAAGACGGTGGATAGTCGTAGTGCATTTATTCCAAATCAGCTTTTAGGTTTTAACGTGCAGTTGGCAAAAGGAAAATTCTCTACAGTTGTGGGATTATGGTTCAGGGGAGTTAATTGTGACTATGGAACCTGATGTCTACAACAGCCTAGTAAATAATCACGCAGTTACTGTAAACTAGCTATACTCATATTCCAGCTCTACTGTGGAAAGTTCATATCAAAAGATTTTGTTGCAGTTGGGGGTAGCGATGACCACTTGTTACGAGTGGTTGATCTTCAAACGTATTCCGTAAAAAAACACCTGGTGGATGTTAACCCTTATTACCTGTCGACTTTCAGACACTTTGTAGCATAACTGGATTACCAGGAGGCGTTTATGATATTGATACAGGTCCTCATCGTCCGCAAAAGTTTCAAAAAGACGTAGCGAGGAGTAGGCAACAGGAGTTGTCTTTAGCGCCCCGATTGGCATTTATAAGCGGGAAAAAAGTTTATCAAATAGAATTTGTGTAATGCAAAAAACCATTGGGATTTTATAAAATTAAAGTATAGGTACATCCTTCGGTTTGATTTTGGTACGAACTGAAGTTTTATGCTTAAATATTAATTGCAGTATGGTACGGTTTTGGTCAGAAGTAGGTAATGTCCCTTGATGATTTCAAGTGTAGCATATAATTAATATACCAGATGTCCTGTAGGTTTTGAACTTCTTTTCAAGATGAGGAATATCCCTAGGACTAAATAACGGAGGAACTGACATATAAGTACTTTTTCTACAGTTGAGCTATCTGAGGGGGGACATTACTTTTACTTCTGACCACGAATGTACCTACTGTTGTGTTGTGTATTCTAGAATACTGAAGGTATTCCCTTGGACAGTATAATATTTGTATAAATTTGCCACCACAATCCCTTCTTCGTTTTTCTTGCATCTTGCATTGCCTATCCACATCGATGACAAAACTTGCAGCATCTTCTACAATGTTCAGGGGATGATGTCTCAAAAAAATTGAAGCCGTCTCGTCTCTTCCGAAGCTCGCAGGTTGCAATAAATCAATAAGGGATAATGAGGAATTAATGGGAAAGCCCAATGGTTAATGGATCAACATCAAACATTCAATTATTGCTAAGTGTGATCGAGTGGCATTAAGTTATCATTAAAGAGAAAGGGATTTAACATTTTGTGGAATATTGCAAGAGGTAGCAAGGTAGAGACCGTAAGCTACATTCAATTTCACGGGTGTAGATAGCAATACCCAAACTCGCCTTTTTTACCATTTACTGTGGAAGCTCTGAGACCTGTTATTGATTGACAAGGTTCCATTCTTTCTAAAACCTCAAGAAACCCGCGTGTCAAAGATTACCTAGTCCAAAGAATCAGCATTAAGCGTGTGGAAATGCGATGAGTATTTTTGATTTTGGGATGGTGCTCCACACCGTTTCCCTACATCAAATGTGTTTCATTCTCAATATTTTAATGACTGAATTGTTATTATAGTTTATAGCATTGTATATGTATTACTAAGTAATAACTAAATTCTTATAAACGACAAAATTGCACTCTGCCCCTGTTGTAGCGGCAACTTAAATAACAGGCAAGCACATGGTTGGCATAGCGAAGAGCACAACCAAATTAAAATTCGTACAGCATACATAAACATCGAAATTGGTTGTGAACTATGAATTGCCAATTCGTATTGACATGTCTTTCTCATGACGTTTTGTTATTTTATTGTCAAAATAATGTAGTTTTTATTAGTGTCATTTTGTAATTTGCGAAATTAGTTCGTGTGTGAGTGGAATCGCGCGTGGCCTCGTTCCCTTTAAATAATAGTAATGCCATTAGTGACCGTACAAAGGAGTCCGAGCACTAATAATGCACCAGAAGATATTTTTGTAAGTATTTTCGCGGATTACCTACTTGCCAATTAGTATTGTTATTGTTAACTAATCTACGTAAAAGCCGTTTTAGATTACACTATGAATCATAGTTTGTACTTTTGTACTAGCTATGATGTAGTTGTAATGCGCTGTCTTTACATGCAAATGAAAAAAAGGTTTATTATCCTTTCATTCAACCAGTTTATTATGTTCGATTATTATTAACGGTACCAAAGTTTGGTTAGCACCCGACGGTGGCGCTGCCCTCCAAATTTTCACAGAACGTGCTCGGTCGAAGCGTTTGCAACTCCTTCTGCTCGTTAGTTATCCTTAGAAATTGGTGTAATGCGTAGTACATTCAGCAATTAATTGCACTCGCGTTCATAAAAACAATAATTGCTTTTAGTTAAATGATGATCTGTTGGTGTTTGCGGTGCTTGACGAAGAGTGTTAGTTCAGTTTAAACGATGTTATACATACTCCCTCCGCCGAGGGCACCGAATCCACCATCTCCTTGGGATAGTATCTTATGCTCATCGGGTGTCGGTGCCGAACCTTCGACCAACACACAAAAACCCCCATGGGACGCGAGCAAGAATGTTAAAAGGCATCCACCACGAGTCCGCCTACGAAATTTAAAGTTAACCAAAGTCGCCGTAAGTAGACAATTTACATAAGGGTCTATCTTTTGTTATTGTTTGGATGATTAATAGCCTAAGTACTATGCAATACTCTTATCTAATCACCTTCGACTATAATACCTACGTTATAAATTAAAATATCTTTCCCGGTCGATATAATGAAAGAAATCAATTGATGTACAACCGGTTTTCTTTCTTTGATCAATAAGAATAAGAATTCATTGATTTGAAACCCCGTCTCAGTTACCCGCATTATCCAGTTAGCTTTATTATAAATTCATGTGGTGTTTGCCGGTAACTGTTCGATTGTTTTTTTCGCTTTTATATTTAGGTTAGAAACGGTACTGTATTCGATTACTCTTTTATTTCGAAGGCGGGCATTTTGAAATAATGATAACTATCAAGTGCTCTAAATTATCGTCAAAAGCACAATGCAAGTAGCTAATGAAACCGACGAAACTGGAGTTTAAACATGCAAGTTTGTATGTTTTTCTTCAAAAAGTTTTCTGGTAGGTATTCAATCATGTTACTTACCACCTTTTAAATATATACCTACAAAAGTAAAACGAGGTCTCACAACTTAGATCTCAGACTGTAAGACTGCTGAAATTGTTCAATGAAAAATTCTATGGGCATTTTGAAAAAATAAAAAAAAAACACTTCATCAGATTTTGATGAGAATATTGTGCTTATTTTCTCCCCTGTGGCGATGCAGTAAAGAACATGATAGTGTACCTATATCTCCAATAATTTCCAGAAAAACCCAATACATACTTTTCGTTAATTTTTGTATTAAATTTGGACACACGAAATATAAAAAAATAAGCAGAAAAGTCGTCGTACTCCCTCGAGTGGTGAAAAGTCCATTTTTGATACATGTAACGTCAATTTGTGTTAAAATTATTGTCTTTAATAATTTAATGACTTGTCCAATATCCTAAAACTGTGTTCTACTGGATTAAATAAATATTATTATTATTAATTTGCATAATAATATGTATCACTATATTAATTTTTTTATTTTTTGAGTGAGCGAGTAGGTCAGTCGTACTAACACGAGTGGCCAAAGCGCATTTTTCACACAGGTAACGTCAATTTTTAATCGAGTTTTTAATGTTTGTTTTCTATTGTTTAAATAAGCGGGAATTCTTCGTGCTCGCACGAGTAGTGAAAGCGCAAAGCGGTGTATGTATCTATTTATACATGTAATATCAATTTTTAATGTGTTTTATAATAAAAATATATTATGATTATTTTTTTAATTAAGCGGCAAAGTCGTCATACTGCCACCCGGTTGGTGTAAACATTTTTCACATGCGTATATCGGCAATGTTTAATGATTTTTTTCTAGATTTTTTTAAATTAAAAATATGCTATTAATTTTATTTTTTCTTAATTTTTTAGCGACAAAGTCGTACTCGCATGTGTGGCGAAAGCGCATTTTACTTTTTTACGAGTGTATTTTTTTAATTAAAATATATTATGAGTAAGTATTATGTAATTTCTATAATTTTTTTAATGAAGAGGAAAGTCGTGAAATAAGTGTAAAATAAAGTTTAAACATGTATTCTTTTACTAAAAATATAATTATTATTTTTTTAATTTTTATTAGGCCGGAAAATCGTCATCCCGGCGCGACTGGTAAAAGTGCATTTTTCACATACGTATCGTCAATTGTTAATGTTCATTTTTTTGCGATTAATTTTATTTTCTTTTAATTTTTTAACGTGCTAGAAAGTCGTCGTAGTCGAGTGTGCACGAAAGTGCTTTTTCCATACGTGTAAGACCAATTTTTAAATATTCATATAATGAGAAATAACGTGTAAAATAAAGTTTTACCGTATATTCTTTTGGTAAAAATATAATGCGATTATTATTTTTTTTAAATTTTTTATTAAGTCGGAAAATAGTGAATGGTGAAAGCGCAGTTTTCACATACCTACGCATCGTCAGTTTTTAAAGTGTATTTTTTATTAAAAATGTTATTACATAATTTTATTTTAATTTTATAAGCGAGAAAGTCGTCGTAGTCGCTTGCGTGACGAAAGCGCGTTTTTATTAAAAAATTAATGTATTTTTTTAAAAAGCGGAAATTCTGTGTTTTTTTTTAAATATTGTCCTTAATTTTATTTTTATTAAATTTTTAAATAGGCGAGGAAGTTGGTGTAAAAATATATTGAGTATTAATTTCTTTAAGTTTTTTAATAAGCGGGAAAGTCGTCAAACTCGTACGATTAGTGAATAGGTGTGAACATGTATTTACTAAAAATATTGTGGTTATTATTTTTTTAAGTTTTTTTATTAGACTGGGAAATCGTCATCCTGGCACGATCGGCGAAGGCGCATTTTTCACATACTTAGCGTTATTTTAATGTGAATTTTTTTTGTTCAAATGTCATCAATTTTATGTTTAATTTGAATAACCGAGAAAGTCGTCGTAGTCGCATGTGTGGCGAAAGCACATTTTTCATATACGTGTAAGATAAATTTTTAGCGAGTTTCTTTTTACTAAAAGTACTTATATTTTGAGTATTAATTATTTTTATTTTTTTATTGAGCGGAAAGTCGTCCTTGTATATTTTATTCTAAAAAGGTAGCATATTAAATTCCCTTTCCAAAAATACAATACTAAAAAATTCAAATTGATTCAAAAAATTTAAAAAAAGTTAAACTTCTTTTTGAAATAGTTTGGAATCATTTGAACCATATTTTATTTTTTTTATCTTTTTGAATCAGTGGCTTCTTTTTCTATCACTAATCACTAATAAGAAACTTTTATAATAAACATTTTTAGTGCACTTTCATTTTAAAAAAATAAAACGTACACTTTTGCGCTCTTGATGTCTGCCTGTCTGTCTAAGTCACAAAGGCTCCGAAACTACACCACTTACAGACTTGTTATTGGTGTCATTCGATCAGAAATTAAAAAATTATTCTCGTTAAGGCATGTCCTTAAGGGCTATTAAAATCGAAAAAATAAATTTGAATTTGCAATCTTCGCCTCTTACTCACAAGCCCCTTAACGATTTTTTTTATTTTCCCCTGTGTCTCTAAAGCGAGCTAATATTTTCATATTTTGATTTTACCATTTTAAGTTTGGCCCAAAAAGGGCACATGACGCCACCAGCGCGTTCGAAAGAGAAAGTATTGCATTAGGGTAAAAATCCCCCCCACTTTTTTGACCGGAAAACACGTTTCGAAGCACCAGGAATGTCTGTCTGTCTGTAGAACATTTTGGAAATGTTTTAATAATAGGTGTACTTCACTTTGGAAACCTTTCAGAGATGTCGCAAATGTCAATAGCGGAAGTTAGAAAAGGTTTTCAGATTGTTTGTTGATAGGTGATTTTGACTATTAGGTATCGTATAGGTGCAATTATAACTTCGAATAATATTTAATTTATTAGAGACATACGACTTCATTACAATTTATTATTTTTACAAGTAAATAGATTTTTTAAATTAAAAATCAACCAGAAGTAGCCAGATCTTTTATGGGCTTCAGTTTCAGAAGAATGTTCATAAAATTCCTCACCTTCCAATCAATGAACCTAACATAATAATTATGTATATCCCGCCAAACATTTAAAGTTTATATTGTACTCTTTATGTTGGAAGACATTCTCATGTATACCAGGTAAAAAATCGGCGACGATCGATTATTGTATACTGCCATAAGGTGCGTTACATAATGAAATGGGCGAATGTACCAGCTGTCGTGCCAGCCATCTTTATACCTCAACGGGCACAAAAAAATTTAAGGGGTACCTGCTCAAGCAGCTGCCAGCATGTCAAATTCCCAGGACCACCATTTCGTCGCGAATAGATCAATATTTAGATCACCACTACAACAGTCGAGAAGAGGTCACGATCCGTGCATTATCGCCTTTCCACAATAACTCCCTTCACTGCGCGGGCCTTTTTTATTTACTTTAATAGTTCCAGATAACCTACTAGAAAAAAGTGGAGCGATTATGACTAATTGACCAAGATCGAAGGAAGTGAACGAGCGCGTTCTTATTACCTCGCAAACTGGTAGAACTTCTTCCTTTTCGGGAAACTGTACATCCTGCTCGTATTTACTGTGTCATTTCAATCTTTAATACAATGTTGCGACTATGAGAATAAATATAACTGATTAACCATAGATTTTTGTAATTAGGTATTAGGTTTCTATTTTCAAGCATAAATCACATACAATTTCTCTACTCGATAGCGTGATGGAGGTGGGGCGAAGAACCGCAAACTGAGTGTAATTTCTTCCGAAATGTCAAAATCGATGAAAAATTAAATACAGCAATGAATTGTTGCATTTCGGCGGGATTGTGCAAAATTCAAAAGTCAGATGTGAACACATCCGGTAAGTGCGCTGGTTTAAAATTTTCAATACGCTTTTCCGCTCGTTTATTACGAGAAACCGTAAATACATTAAAACCCACGTCGACTTGTAATTTACGAGATGGGAAATAACTTTGCCTCGATTTTTCTAATAAGGAAGTTTCGACATACAAACTTCCGAACAACTTTTTTGCTCTTAAGGTATTACTGTCGGGAATTCTGTCCGTCCGTGCGTAGAAGCCTTTTCAACGTTCTTCATTATCATTATCCCATATTCAAGATTGAAGTACGAGACCGAGTACCTTAGTTTCCGAGTCAAATAATGTCATTTTACTGACGAGTTCTACATTTTTACCGAAATCCTCCGTCTTGCTTATCATATATAAAACTTTTTATTAATATTAATGTGTCCTTTTTGACAGGAGTCTGGGAAAGCGACAGAATCCAGGAATAGTATCCAAGTAGGTAAAGTGTTACAGTCATGCCGATTTCGGGAAAACATTTGTAAAAACAAACAAAATGTTTGTTTATAGGTAAACGACTTCTCCCAAGCAAATTTTAATGGATTCGACCTTGACCAATATTAATTAGTGAGTAACCACAACGATATGCTATGCAAAACATGGTTATTAGACAAAGGTATAGATTTTGACAGTAAACTTTGCTACCTATCCTACC